CACATTTTTTTTTTTCATCAGTGAAGTTGGAAAAAAATTGGCCAATTTTGCCAATTGGCTGATTTTCCCGGCAACGATGGGCAAATCGGCCGATCTTTTTATCGATAAAAAATCTACGCATGAGCCGTGACCTGCAAGAGGAAGAAAAAGAAGAGGAAAAGGAAGAAAAAGAGGAAGAAATAGAAGAAGAGGAAAAAGAAGAAGAAAAAAAGAAGAAGAAATAGAAGAAGAAAAAGAAGAAAAAGTAGAAATAGAAGAAAAAGAAAAGAAGAAGAAATAGAAGAAGAAGAAAAAGAAGACGAAATAGAAGAAGAAAAAGAAGAAGAAAAAGAAGAAGAAGAAAAATTCCAGTCTGCTATTTTATTTGACGTGAAAAAGTCTTGCGGTTGCAACAATGTATCTATTTGTATCCGAATAAAACCATCTGTATCCAAAATGGATACAAATGGATACATTGTTGCAACCGCAAGACTTTTTCATGTCAAATATAATAGCGGAGCTCTCTGCAGGGACAGAAGTAATTAAATGCCGGCTGTAGATGGGACGAAAATCAGCAATTTTTTTTACCGCTGGTGGTAACGTCGGCCTATTGAACAACCGATTTTTCGTTTTTTTTTTTTTTTAAATGGACGGTTTTCGACAAACCAACAAACAATCCTAATTTCTTGTGTCTTTATTGAACACACCCATTACACATTCACAGTGCTGGAGGAAAAAGTTAGTGAACCCTGGAGTTAATAGCTTGTGGAACCTCCTTTGGTAGCAATGACTTCAAGCAAGCACTTTTGATAGCTATGGATCAGACCTGCACAATGCTCATGGGAGATTTTTGACCATTCCTCTTTACAAAACATTTTTGGAGTGCAGGGGCTTCCTCCATGGTGATCTGCCATGGACACTCTGCCTGTTAAAAGACTGGTATGGTAGACTCATGAACAGGGATGTTTGAGAGTTCCAGTGATGTCTTAAAGCCTTTAGCTGTTACTCATGGGTTCTTCTTTACCTCACTGAGGATTCTGCGTTGTGCCTTGGGAGTCATCTTGCCTAGGTGTTAGACGTCTAGCAAGAGTATCCACATTACTAAGCTGTCTACATTCATGGACATTTGTCTGTGGACTGATGGATGCTTAAAGTCTTTAAGTGCCTCCCGTCCGCCATATAAGGTAATGACGGGCGCAAGGCGGTTCTCCTATTCTGGGAGGATGTCATATGACGATCTCTGGGAGCGTGCAGCGTGGCATTCGGCGCTGCGTTGTGTTCCTTGGACACAGCAGATCACCAATCAACGGAAAGAGCCAAAGATGTCGGTTCAGTCATGTGATCAGCTGTGTCCAATCACAGCTGATCGCATGTAAATAGGGAAATGCCAGTTATAGGCATTTCTCTCCCCACGAGCTGTCACGCTGACAGAGGAGATGAGATCCAGTAATCGGCATTCCTCGGAGGGGACATGTACACTGATCATCAATGTAGCCCCAGCAGTGCCACCTGTCAGTGTCCATCAATGCTACCTGCTAGTGGCCATCAGTGCCACATCCATGCCACATATCAGTGCCTACCAGTGCACATCAATGCCACATATCAGTGTCCATCTGAGCTGTCTTTCAGTGTCACCTATCAGTGCCAGTCAGTGCCACCTATCAATGTCAGTCAGTGCCACCTAGCAGTGCTGCCAGTCAGTGCCACCTAGCAGTGCTGCCAGTCAGTGCCACCTATCAGTGCAAGTCAGTGCTGCCTATCAGTACCAGTCAGTGCCGCCTATCAGTACCAGTCAGTGTCGCCTATCAGTGGGCATCAATGCTGCCTATCAGTGCCCATCAGTGCTGCCTATCAGTTCCGCCTATCAGTGCCAGTCAGGGCCACCTATCAGTGCCATCTATCAGTGCCGCCTATCAATGCCATATATGAGTGCTGCCTTTCAGTGCCCATCGTGATGCCTGTCAGTGCCCATCAGTGCCACCTACCAGTGCCATCTCATCAGTGCACATCAGTGAAGGAGAAAAATCACTTATTTACAAACTTTATAACAAAAACTAAGAAAACTTTTTTCCTTCAAAATTTTCAGTTGTTTTTGGTTTGTTTAGCAAAACATAACAAAACCCAGAGGTGAATAAATACCACCAAAAGAAAGCTCTATCTGTCTCCAAAAAAATTATAAAAAATTGCAGTTTTGCATAACCGCGCAATTGTTATTCAAAGTGCAACAGTGCTGAAAGCTGAAAATTCTCCTGGGCAGGAAGGGGGTATAAGTGCCCTGTAGACGAGGGGTTAAGATTGCTTTGTGTCCCTTTTCAGCCTTATGCATATCAACTACTCTGATTGTAAGTTTTCAGAGAGTTCATTTTTTGAGAGGCATGGTTCATATCAGCTGATGCTTCTTATGAACAGCAATGTTATTCTGTTTGAGTGTCTTTTATCAATTAACCCCCCTGGCGGTATTCCAGAGTGTAGCTCGGGGTACAGTTTCAGCACCACAAGCGGTAACCCCCCCCCCCCGAGCTACACTCGGGAATACACTGCAGCGTTGCTCCGGGATCTCTCCAGCACTTACCTTGTCCTGCGCTCCCGCGATGTCCCCCTGCAGTGTCCCCTGTAATGTCCTCCGGCCGATGCCGGCATCTGTCTTCTGGGTTCAGTTCCCTGTGACGTCGGGACGTACGGGGGATGGAACTGGCGGGAAATTTAAAAATGACAAAAAGTGACATTCACTAAAATCACTAAAATCACATAGTATAACATTCCTGTATCAAACCATTTCACATACATTTTGTCCCGAGTGCTTTGTCCGGCGCCCTGCCTGCATTTTTACTGTTCTTTCTGCCTGGAAACTGAGAAACGTCCATGGCGTCCAAAAAGCGTCCCTTTAGGTCAGTCGCGGTTTTAGACCGGCTACAGAACAGCGATAGTAAATCAGAACCACTTGCAGAATTGAGTGATAATGATTCGTGGGGGAAATTCCTCATCAGACACTGAAAACGATTCTGCGACTTTGCTCAGCGATGTGCGAACTTGGCGCTCTATTTCACATTTCAGTGTTTTTGGTTTGATTATATTATTGAATTAAATTTATTATTATTATATTATTATTTTTTATGATTATTTATTAAATTATAATTTATGTTTTCGTGTTTTAAATTTTATCATCCCCGGGATTTTTACTAGACTCTTGTTTGTACAGATTTCAGTGAGTTATTCCTAAAAATTACAGGCCTACAATAAAAAAAATACATATTTCCATGCAAAATAATGTACCGCTTTGAGCACAGAAATATGGACATAATCAGACCACTAGGGAGGCTGCAGTAGCTCTAATCCACACCTCCAATGTATTCAATTAATTGGACTCCAGGTGTGCAAACTAGTTTTCATTGAATCATTTGTCACTTACTTTTTCTTCCAGCACTCTGAGTGTTTAATGGGTGTGTTCAATAAAGACACATGAAATTAGAACTGTTTGTGTGTTATCAGCTTAAGCACATTGGGGAAGATTTACTAAAACTGGAGCACTCAGAATCTGATGCAGCTGTGCATGGAAGCCAATCAGCTTCTAACTTCAGCTTGTTCAATTAAGCTTTGACAATGAAACCTGGAAGCTGATTGGTTTCTATGCAGATCTGTGCCAGATTTTGTATGCTCCTGTTTTAGTAAATAACCCCCATTGTGATTGTCTATTTTTATGACTTAGATGAGGAGCAGTTTTTATGGCAAATTACTGCAAAAAACCCCGTTAATTCCAAGGGGTTCACATACTTTTTTTTGCCATTGTATATATTTTAGGGCTGGTCATTTAAAATCGAACCTATTAATATTATATTTTAGGACTGATCCTTTAACATCAAACTTATTAATATAATATTTTAGGACTGATCCTTTAACATCGAGCCTATTAATACCTGTTACCTGTTATTAACACCTGTTACCTGTGACGAAACGCGTAGGGTGGCACACAGCACACACGCTACTGCGCATGTGCGAACAGACAGCGGTCATTTTGGAAACAGGAAAATTTGGATTTTTTTTGCCAATCAATGCCTAGTGATGTTTGCTTACATGTGAGTGCAACCATACGGTAAATAAATATTCTTTGTTTGCATGTTTTCCACTACAAGTCCAAGCCTTATCCTGAATGGTTTAGCTACCCTAATTAAAGTCCATTGTTTGGAAGATCCTTATCTGCTGTTTTGGAGATCTGGAGGAGGATTCAAGTGACCAGCTTTCTGGACTGTTTAACAAAGTACGATTGACCACTCTTAACAGGGGGTCATGTCTTTTTGGTAAGCCTTCTGTATGAGTGGTTGGGGACACAACAACTGTCCTTGGATTTCTTTTGTTTCATCACAGCCTTTGCGACTTTTATTTTATTTTATTTTTGGATGGACTATTTTTTTTTTAAACATTTTTCACTGTTTTCTTATGACTATTTGTAACTTTTTAAGCGCTGCACTTTTATGGAAATATTATATTTTAGGGTTGGTCCTTTTATATCGAGCCTATTAATATTATATTTTAAAATTTGGTCCTTTTACATTGAGCCTTTTAATGGTATATTTTAGGACTGGTCCTTTAACATCGATCCTATTAATATTATATTTTAGGACTGGTCCTTTAACATCGAACCTATTAACCTCCCTGGCGGTATTCCCGAGTGTAGCTCGGGGTAAAATTTCAGTACCAAAAGCGGTAACCCCCCCCAGCTACACTCGGGCTTACCCTGCGGCGTTGCTCAGGGATTTCCTGCAGCGCTTACCTTGTCCTTCGCTCCCGCGATGTCCCTCCTGCAGCGTCCCCGGCCATCTCCTCCGGCCAATGCCGCCTTCCGTGTTCCGGTCCCTGTGACGTCGGGACGTACGGGGGTCGGAACCGGCGGCAAATTTTAAAGTTTTAAAAACTGTCATTTTTTTGTAAACGATGTAAAACATTGCTGTTTCAAACCATTTCACATACATTTTGTCCCTACTGCTTTGTCCGGCGCCCTGCCTGCATTTTTACTGTTCTTTCTGCCTGGAAACTTAGAAAAGTCCATGGCGTCCAAAAAGCGTCCCTTTAGGTCAAAATCGGTTTTAGACCGGCTAGAGAACAGCGATAGTAAATCAGAACCACTTACAGAATTGAGTGATAATGATTCGTGGGGGAAATTCCTCATCAGACACTGAAAACGATTCTGCGACTTTGCTCAGCGATGTGCGAACTTGGCGCTATATTTCACATTTCAGTGTTTTTGGTTTGAATATATTATTGAATTACATTTATTATTATATTATTATTTTTTATGATTATTTAATAAATTATAATTTATGATTTCGTGTTTCAAGTTTTATCATATCCGGGATGTTTACTAGACTCTTGTTCGGACAGATTTCAGTGAGTTATTCCTAAAAATTACAGCCTACAATAAAAAAACTACATATTTCCATGCAAAAAAATGGTACCGCTTTCAGCACCAAAAATCTGAAATAATCATACCGCTAGGAAGGTTAATATTATATTTTAGGGTTGATCCTTCAATATCGAACCTATTAATATTATTTTTTAAGGATGGTCCTTTTATATCAAGCCTATTAATATAATATTTTAGGGTTGGTCCATTTATATCGAGCCTATTAATTTTATATTTTAGGGTTGGTCCATTTATTTTGAGTCTATTAATTTTATATTTTAGGACTGATCCTTTAACATCGAACCTATTCATTTAAAAAAAAAAAAAAAATCAGTACTGTTCCAGGGTATTCTTCAATAGCCAAACATTCACTTGCTGTATAACTGACTTTTGTATTTCAATTTTCTATTTTTTTATCTGCTTTATTTCCCGTTTCTGAAGTTCTGTTTTTAAATGTCAAGTGCATTATCTCTCAGACGAAGTCATTCAAAAGATAACCTTGAATTCCTGACACTCATGCTGCACCACCATGCTGTGCCACGAGTGCGTCCTATGATTATACAGGCAATAGACAAACATACTCTCATATGTTGTTTTATTTACAGGTATAATGATGCCATCATGTGCAGCGGAGGTCACCGGCGTGGTTAAAAGGCAGTGCCAAGCAACGGTCCGGTTTAATTTACCTTAATCTGCTTGTTGTACAAGGCTGAGGGGGGCTTTTCAGAAGTGATCTTAGAAAGGTTTTTAAAACATAGAGAGCAATAGAGGACGAGCAAAGGAATAGGAGATAATGGAGCAGGTGTTGATTGAGATAGCAGATAAAACGCAAAATAAAAACCGCTTGCTTTATTCCGGTTGACATTCTGGAAATTAGACAACTTTCAGTGTATATCTACTCAAATGCTTCTAGTATCCTCCACTGCCGGAAAAAAACACAGTGCAACCTTCACCTTTAACTGAACTCCATACAAACCAGATCCAGAGACCCTAGGGCATCAAATAAGATCAATATGCTTTCTGGGATATGGTCATGCAAGATGTCTGTAGATCCATCCTAAGTAGTCGCTTTGGACAAATTGTACATGTAGACTCCATCATTCTCCGTCCACATTGAATCCCCACTGGGACAATTCTGAGTTACTGTCTGGCTCAAGGATTAATCCATTACTGTCAACTGAGTGAGCCACACGGGATTCACCCTGGATGGATAACAATGGAGTCTTCAGGTACAGATTGACCTGAGCAATTGACCTGAAAAATGCTCTTTTGCCTGAATGGGTACTACAGGCACATTCCAAAATCTGGTGGAAAGTATTCCCAGAAGAGTGGAGGCTGTCAAAGACAAAGTGGTGGATGTGGAGGGATGATTTCTCCATATTACTGCCCATGGTTTTGAAATAGGATATCCAACAAGCCCATGTAAGTGTGATGGTCAGGTGTCCACAAGCTTTTGTTCATAGAGTGTAACTGGTTCCCATTGTTAATCTCAAATTTCCAACTGGATTATACGGATATCCATACAGCGTACATATTTACAAATAAACAGTTAAGCAACTGCCACGTTCTGGCTATGATGACCATTAGGGATGAAATAAATCCAACAAGCAGCTGTCACTCTCTGGCTATGATGGCCAACAGGAATGAGATGAATCCAACAAGCAGCTGACACTTTCTGGCGCTGATGCCCCATAGGGATGAAGACGCTTGCATTTCTCATTTGCCTTAAATTACTCCACCCATGTATATCTTTCCTTTGCTTGGTATAAATTCTTCATGTTTCTTTCTGGCAATACCCGGCAGGGATGAGGTTCGGGTTCATTATGAATGAATGGCTGAAAACTTTGAGGGTACCAGAAATAATGGACAATCTATAATGCAGCACATAGCCTCTGGTCTCGAGTCGGCTGAATAATATGAGCCAATATTAGAAAGGAATGGATAACTGATGTGAATGTACAATATATATGTAAAGCGCGGCATAAATTGACGCTATAGAAGTACCTGAAATAAATAAATAGTAATAGCTCAATTTTGATAAAAGGGTGGGGTCACAGTAGCCATATTGTTGGTGTGTGCTGGAGGTTAGGCAAGATTGACGGGCAGTAAGAAGGCGATATGGTGCCTCCTTACAACCTGTTTTAACCCTGTAAATGCTGCACCAATGCAGCCTTGCATGAAATTGTGGTCTTGCTGTGGGGTGGTTGCGGCGTGGCCCTATTTGCTTGAATTTTCTTCAGTGGTGCTATTAGCTGCCAAACACATCAGAAGGGAATTGTTTTTCCCACCACCACAAAGCAGATTATGGCAGCTAGAGTACGTGAGCTCCATTATTTTTGCAACAATGCAGCACAACCCCTTTTAACCTCATCAACTGCCCTCCAATCAAGGGCGGACTGACCATTTGGAAACTCAGGCACTGCCCGAGGTCCCGAGGTCAGTAGGAGGCCCCATGAGATGCCCCTGATACCTTTTTCATAGGCTTTTTTGAGTTTGGGCAAGGACACAGGGGCCCCATGATCCCTTATTGCCCGGGGGCCCCATGATTTGTCAGTCCGCCCTTGCCTCTAACCACAAGTCTAAATTACTAAAGGCAAATAGGTTGTTCATTTTGCAATGAGCATTTTAGCTTAGTGAAATAAGTGAAACTCTTATGATTTCCATCATCCAATCACGAGCAGGCAAAAAAACCCGGGGTGGAATTATTAAAGGCAAATAGACTGTGCACTTTGCAAGTATAGTTGTACTCATTTTCTTTAGTAAATGTACATATGGTAAAGTGTTGCTTTGAAAAAATAAAATTACCCAATCAGGTACAAGGAACATAAAAAAAAAACAACAGCATTTTTCTTGCACATGATTGGATGACGGAAATCAGCAGAGCTATGCCGCATTTACTAACCTCTGGCGAAAATGAGTGCAACTTCACAGTCTATTTGCCTTTAGTAAATGCACCCCTCTGTTTTCTTTACTATATCTTATTTATACCATATTTAACTTATTTATAACTTATTTCCCTTGCTTCTGATTAGATGTTCATAACAAAGCTAAGGGAAAATTCCAATGCATAGTGAACAGCCTATTTGGCTTTAGTAAAGCCGACCATAGATGTTTCGAATCTCATCCAGGTTAGCAGGGGCCGGCCGAGATTCGAACCATGTATAGGCAGGCTTAATGTAGCCAAGTTGATCAACCGATACAACCAGCCTCCCACCGGGAGACCACAACAGCTCCGCAGGAGGGATTTCCCCATCACTGTCCTTGATGATGGGGTAATCAGGCTCCATCTATAGCCAGCTTAACCCCTTGACACCGACGTCACACAAATATGCGGCCTCACAGAACTGGGCTTTTTTCCGTGGGGCCGCATATTTGCGTACCTGTGTTTGTGCTGGGAGTGCGCCACACTGCGCGCTCCCAGGACAAAGACCGTGGTGTCACTGAGAGCCTCTGGTCCCGTTCTAACGATCGGGACCCAGGACTCCCGATTCCGGGTCATATGATCGCTGTGATAGCCTCTGATTGGCTATCACAGTGATCAGTCACTGTGCAGCCCGGCCCCCTTGTTTTTTTTTCTCTCTATGAATGGAGGCGAGAGATACATTGTATCTCTCTAACTCCTGGCATAGAGAGAAAAAAAAATTTTGTAAAAAAAAAAGATAAATAAGTAATTAAATATTAAAAAATTAAATAAAAAATAAAGAAAAAATACCTAGATCAAGGTTTGATCTAGTTCAGTGCCAGGGTTATTGTTTGGGTCAAGGTCAGGGTCAAAGGTCAGGATTTTTAAAAAATGGTATCAGTGTCAGTTAGTGTCAATGTCAGGGTCAGTGTGTTTTAGGTAAAAAAAAACCCACAAAAACAAAATGCGCACTATTGTTTCTGGGCTGTACTCCGGGTACAAACTATAAATAACTTACACATATATGGGATCGCTGCGATCGTCAAGAGCTGGAGCATTTATTTTGGGTTGTTCTTTGGTGGTAGGTTATGGCAGTAACAAGAAGCACACAGCTAAATTACAAAAATGATTTTTTTTTACTATTTTGGGCCAGTTTTCCTTTGATAATAAAAAAAAATCAGAAGATATCCATTACCATTTACCACCAAATGAAAGCCAAATTTTTCCTGAAAAAAACACGGTATAATTCACCTGGATATACAAAGTAGTTGTGGTGTTATGTACGGTTTTACTAACATATGTCAACGTTGCAAAATTGTGCATAGGCATTTAGATTTGTTTTACCCTTAGGCGTGAAGGGGTTAAATCAACCCCAAATTGTGTTGTTGTTTTTTTTTAACGTTGTTATTGATACATGTGTCCAATGGTAGAGCTTGACTTCCCATGCCTTTTGTTAGCTTACCTATTAGCCCTACTGATGGCCAGAACTGAATAATAAGACTACCCCCCATACCCAAAGACTCCAGTAGGGTTCACAATCTTTGACCTTCTGGAAAGATTGGTAAAATTGTTCTTCAACCCATCCCAGGCAGATATGCTCATCCCTAATGCCGTACAGATATATATTACATAAAATAATGGCCTTATATAAAATGAATATTAATAATTGTCCAACAAGAGAACAGTAAGTGCACTAGACGTGAAAAAATGACTAACAGCTC